GGAGCCGAGGCCGGCTGCATTTGGCGCAGATCCCCCTCCTCCTCCTCCTCCTCCTCCTCCTCCTGCTCCTCCTCCTCCTCTCCTCCTCCTCCTCCTCCTCTTCCTCCTCCCCTCCTCCTCCTCCTCCTCCTCCTCCTCCTCCTCCCCCTTCTCCTCCCCTCCTTTCTCCTCCTCCTCCCTCCTCCTCCTCCTCCTCCTCCCCCTTCTCTCCCCCTCCTTTCTCCTCCTTCTCCTCCACCTCCTCCTCCTCCTCCTCCTCTTCTCCTCCTTCTCCATTTCCGCCATCCTCCTCCTCTCCTCCTCCTCCTCCTCCTCCTCCTCCTCCTCCTCTGTTTCCTCCGTTTCCTCCTCTTCCTCCTTTTCCTCCTCCTCCTCCTCCTCCTCCTTCTCCTCCTCCTCCTCCATCTTGGAGGCTCCGTGGGGCCCTCAGGACCTCGCGAGGGGTGCCCTGGAGGCCGTGGGTGGCTTCCTTGGACATCCTGGGGGCACCCTGGCCCCCCGATTGACCCATGTCGGACTGATGCAACTGATACGGCGAAGCCAGGGCGAGGATAAGATCCGGTGAGGATGAATCGAGAATATCTAAGATCTGGCGGCTCTGGAGGGTCTCGGGAGCCGCGGCTTTCTCAGAGCGTTCCGGAATGCTCTGGAACGGATTGCCCCTTGTCTTAGTCCCGTCCGAATTGACCCCCTGAATCTGGCTGGCCTGGCTGGCCTGACACGTAATAGGTCTTTCCTGCGCCCCTTGGCGCCGCGATCGTGTGCCCAAAAGGGTGCCCGGGCTCCTTCCGGGGCTGTGGCACCAAAGAGAGCCACCCGAGGAGGCCAATGTCGTTAATCTCTAGAGAAGGTTCTCGAGATGTTCTCGCGTTCTCGCCTTCGGGTGACGACGGCTCCAAGAAGGCCCAAAAAGCCCCCAACAAGAGGGCCCCAAGTCGGGCCGGAAGAGTGCCCGAAGTCGCCCAGCTGCCAGAGAAGTCACAGGGTCGACGGCGAAGGGACCGCGGTGGCGACGTCGCCCTCACCTCTTCAGAAACAGCGGCGGCAGCGATGGCGACAGCGGCAGCGGCGGCGGCGGCGGGCGGCGGCGGCGCCGAAGGCGGCGCCATCGCTTCGGAGCCTCTCGGGCAGCTCCCATTTGGGGTAATTGAAATGAGGAGTGGAGGCTCTTGAGGTACAGTGGAGGCCAGTCCACAAGAATCCTTCCACAAGAAACCCCACCCCTGAGACCCCAGGACGTCCATTGACTTGTTGTGCGGGAACGCCACGCTCTCCATAGCCGTCAAAACCCAGGAAACCTGGGCACCCTGGAGGCCAGCAGGGCTTGAGCAGGGACCGACCGTCCAGGCATTCCTATAGGCCTACCACGACATGTTCTTAGAACGCATCAATGCACGCCCTGAGCGTATGCTCTGAATTGCTGGGTTGGGTAAAACTTGACACCCCTCACGCAGATCGGCGGGGTCAGGGTCCAAAGACACATGGGATGTGCCACATGTCTGAAATTCGGTGGCACCCCTCACGCAGATCGGACGGGTCAGGGTCCAAAAACACTCGAGAGTTGCCACACTTCTGACATTCGGTGGCACCCCTCACGCAGATCGGCGGGGTCAGGGTGCAAAAACACACGGGATTTGTTACATTTCTGCAATTCGCTGGCACCACTCTCGCAGATCGGCGGGGTCAGGGTCCAAAAACAAATGGGATTTGCCACATTTCTGACCTTCGCTGGCACCCCTCACGCAGATCGGCGGGGTCAGGGTGCAAAAACACAGCGGATTTGCTACATTTCTGCAATTCGCTGGCACCCCTCACGCAGATCGGCGGGGTCAGGATCCAAAAACATATAGGATTTGCCACATTTCTGAAATTCGATGGCACCCCTCACGCAGATCGGCGGGGCCAGGGTCCGAAAACCCATGTGATTCTCAACATTTCTGAAATTCGGTGGCACCCCTCACGCGGATCCGTAGGGTCATGGTCCAAAAACACAAGGGACTTGCCACATGTTTTAAAATTCGGTGGCACCCCTCACGCAGATCGGCAGGGTCACGACGTCTTACCAATTGCCAGGTATGGTAACCCCTCTGGTCATCTATTGGTTTTGCTCATTACGAGTCGGCCTCGCATGAAGTTCCCATGCTGCTTCACGACAGCGCCCAGGCCTCATGACACAGCTCTTGCATAGCGCACTCTCCGAGAGAGGGGGCCGGCGGCGGGGGGCGAAGCCCTTACGGATAATTTCCTTGGCGCTCCGAGCGGATTGCACGCTGTGCCCCCGTCCCCTGGCGCGTGGAACGCGCCAGGGGCGCAGCGCGCCAGGGGCGCAGCGCGGATCCGAGCAATCCGAGCGGAGCGCCAACAGTTTATGTATACGGCGTTTTTTGTTCTTCGAATATTCGCCACTCTGGATTCCAGACATGCGACGTCCTGACTTGTTCAATGCGGCGCCCACCGAAGTCCAGGCACTTTCCCAGGGGCCTGCGTTTTACCCCGAGTCGTTTCTTGACGGTCACGGGGCCCGGCGAGGGCTTCCAGGGGCCGAACATAGTGGAAAACGTGACGGCCTGAGTTTTTGCTACGGCACTGCGCGAGCTTCTGCGCAGCTCCTGTCAGTTCATCTGTCTTACCCATAAATCTCACATCATCTCTACACTTTTCTCTATTGGCGAATGAATGTCTGGGACAGCGCCTGCGCGAGCTCCCTCCCCCCCCCCCTCGCGAGCCGCCGAGGGGAGGGATGGGGCTGCCCTCCGCCGGAGCGGCGCCTCTTTCTGCGGCCGCTGCGGCGCCGTGGCCGGCCAGGCCCGGGAGAAGGGAGGGAGGGGAGGGGGCTTCGTTTGATGTCGGGCGTGTCCCCCTGCAGGGGGATTTTCGACGAACAAATGAAAATACCCCAAAAAAACTCCAAAAAGGTCAAAACATACTCAAAAAATAGTCCCCAGACTATTTTTGGAGTATGTTTTGATTATGTTTGGGGTATTTTTGATTTTTCGTCGGAAATCCTCCTTGTAGGGGGACGGGCCCGACTTAAGTTTCGTTTGGCGGCGAGCCCCAGGGGCGAAGTGTTAGATCGGGCATGTCCTCCTATAGAGGCGGTTTTGGGACAAAAAATGAAAATCACACCAGAGAGAACAACCCAAATCAAGGGATGGTTTGGAATGGGATCGATACAGAGATCGACAACGAGATCGACCGGGAACCTGGGAACCCAGAAACCCGGAACCCACCGAAATCGGCCCTGAACCAATAATCAAGAACCTGGAAACCCGGAACCGGGAACCCGGGAACCCAGCCGGCTACCAAAGTCGACGGGAAACTGTCGCCAGATCTTTCAAAATCCGCAAGGACCCCTGCAGTGCATGCGCCGATTGGGGGAACTACACATATATATATACATATGTATTATTCAAACATATCTATAATAAAGAATTATCAGACGATGTATTGGCTATGTTTGAATCTCCCTCCTTTAGGGCGAAGTGAGAAGGGGCGGGCCTTCACAGAAGGCTCGGAAATCCCCCGATCTCCTGAGCAGTCCTCGAAGCCTTCCCCGAAGACTCAAGACGCAGGCAGGCCTCCCAGAAGACCAGAAGCCTTCCGAGAGGTGCCGCCACCTTCTGGAAAAAGGCCTTCTCCTTCTCCTTCTCTTTCCCCCCCCTCGCTCGCCGCCGAGAGGGGGAGCGAGGGGGCGCTGGGGGAGGAAGACGCCAGACATGCGACGCCCGGACTTTTTCAATACGGCGTCCCCAGAAGTCCAGAGCCTTTCCCCTGGGCCGGCTTTTCATCCTGAGTCGTTTTTTGACGGTCCCGGGGCCTGGCGAGGGCCCCCAGGGGCCGAACATGATGGAAAACTTGACGTCCTGATTCTTCTACGACGCATCATGCCTGGGACTCGAGCAGGCGCAGAGGAGGATCTTATGGAACAGTGGCGCTCGGCACAGACGTAGACGTTCGGGAGTCCACGCAGAACTCTCGGGTCGGCACGCCGCGGCGGCACGCTCTGCATTCTGCTTGCGCCGGGGGGGAATCCAAAAACTGACAGCCATGACTTCTCGGAGGTCCGCGCGGAGTCTTTGTTTCAGTTCTTTCCCGCGGCAAGTGATGGCCTCATCGTCATGCACTGCAAAACACCTCACGCACGAATAAAAAGGCTTGACCGGCCAGGTGGGACCCTTCACCAGTCAAGTGGGACGCTTCACTGGCTGGACTATCGCCTCGCTGGTGCGCACACCCTTGTTCACAGCAGGATTTCGTCGGAGCCTCCAGGGAAATCTATGGGATCCTGGATCCCTGGGGGAACCTATGAGATCCTGAATTCCTGGGGAAACCTATGAGATCTTGGATCCCTGGGGAAACCTATGAGATCCTGAATTCGTGAGGGAACCTATGAGATCTTGGATCCCTGGGGAAACCCATGAGATCTTGAGACACTGGGGATCCCCGGGGAGACCTATGAGACGCTGCACCGCGGGGCACTTCCTCTTCCGATTCCTCCTTCTCTTCCTCCTCCTCATCTTCATGTTCTTCGTTCCCTTCCTCATCCTCCTCCTCCTCCTCCTTCTCGTAGCTGCGTTGCCATCGTGATTTACACCGTGGCACAAATCCAGAATTGGTTTCTTCACCGGCCTTCGAAAAGCATGAACAATCAAAGCACATCCGAACATCTTTCGGCGACCCAAACCATGTGTATGATTCATTCTTGGAGGCTTTCATGAAAGTCATACAATTAACTTTCGATTGAAAGACGTTGCCAGTGAAACACCCAATCAGACGGTGAACGGATCAGCCGGTGAAGGGTCCCACCTGGCCGGTGAAGAGACACATGCCCCTCATGCGCTGCAAATCACCCTGGAGGTCCGCGCGGAGTCCTCGGATCGGCGCTGAACCCCCCTCCCTGGCGCCAGAGGCGCCGCCAGGGGGGACCAGCGAAACTCCACAAGAAATCCGTGCAGACCTCCGAGAAGTCGTGTTATTACTGTTATTGCTGCTTTTTAAAAAGAGGGAAGGGGAGGGAGAGGGAGGGTGGAGATCGCCGCTTTGGACGCCCGAAGCGGAGATTACGGACAAACATTGGTACGAGGCCCAAAAGCAAATTTTGCCCCAAACGAACAGAGGCCGCAGTGGACAGCGTTTTCGATTTTTCACTCTAGCGGTCGTTACTCGCCTCGCCGATCGCTCAAAAACGTTACGTTCCGCGCCAGCGCCGTCTGGGAATGCTTAGGGATAGCCAAAGGCAACACGGGTAGCAGAGCGCGCATACCTTTAGGGATCTGCTACGGCAGAGCGCTTCCCTTCTCCCCCTCCTCCTCCTCCTGTCGTCATCGTAGCGTTCCTCCTCAGGGAGGGGGCGAGGCAGGCCAGGCCAGGCCGAAACGACCCGGTCGATTCTTGCTCCTGCCTCCCTCCTCCTTCGTCTGTCCTTGCGTGAAGCACCTTGCAAGACAATGAAGAAGACAAGGACGAGGAGAGGAGAAATGCGACGACGACGACGACGACGACGACCGACGACGACAACGACGACGACGACGACGAAGGCGACGGCGACGGCGACGGACGGCGACGACGACGACGACGGAGACGACGAGGAATCCGCCGACCCCCGATTGCGGGGGGATGAAAAGGCGGTCGACATTTGGCTGTCCCCCTTCCTCTTTCCCCCTCTCCCAGGGCCCAACATCCGATTAGGGGGGGGTCTCCAGGGGGGTCTCCGTGCTCCCCAACGCCCACCTGGAGTTACCTCCAAAGAGCCCCTTGACAGCCGAAGAGGGTCCACACAGAGCGCCAAGACAGTGCCAGAGAGCGTCGAGACGGCCCATGGTAGCCACAAGACGGTCCAAGATGGCGTCGAGACGGCCCACGAGGCCCCCAAGACGGCCCAAGAGTGCTTCCAGAGAACTGCCGAGAGAGGCCGTGAACGCAAAAACCGTCCCATTCCGATGAGAAAGCGCCCATTTTTAGTGTGCTCGCCTTTTTTCGTTTTGCCAGCGTCCAAGACGAGGCCTCCAAAAGAGCCCCAAGACGGCTCAAGATGGCCCGAAGACGGCCCCACGGTCCCCAAAGACGGCCCAGGAGAGGCCCTCTTGGGCCCCAAGAGGGACCCAAGAGGGCGAATACGAATTGCCAATTCGAGCCTGATGACCCCAAGCACCCCAGAGGCACCCAAGGCGCCCCCAAGAGACACCAAAAGGCCTCCAAGAGGCCCCCACGAGGCCCCCAAGAGGCCCCCACAAAGCTCAAACAAAAACTCAGGTGCCACAATAAGCCCTCTAAGATGCCCCTGAGGAGCATCCCAAGAGCCTCTCATATGCATCCACGTGCCTCTTGACCCCCTTCATTCCTTCCACGAACGCTGCAAGCTCTCACTGTACCTCCACACTCCGTGGACGCCAACCAGTGGCCGTCACGAGACCCCGACAAAGCCCCGCAGCGGTTCCCAGAACGCTTTACCATTGCCTCCCTGAGCCTTGCCCACAGACTCCCACAGGCATACCGCCTAACCACATGTGCAAGGGTAAGACCGCGCGCGACATGCTCGGCCCCAACCTTCAACATCATCGATCTCTACTCTCTCAGAGCCCCGAATCCTGCTCGAGACACGGGCGACGAACTTGACACCGTGTCTTCCGAGCCAACAAAACCTTCCGACATAGACCGCTCGGCTCCGAAGGCCCCAAGATAACCGTTAATGCCCAAAGAGACTCGAGATACGACAACATATTCAGGCCCCGATGCTCCGAATGACTTCCGCGATCGTGCATTACTCTTTAGCTTTTCTGGGAATCGGCGGAAAGGCGCAAGCCACTCTTGAATAGGTGAGGAGAAATGGATGGGTGGAAATCCAGTCAGGAATGCGCGCAACCGTGGAAAGCTCGTAGATCTACGACCATTATACGTATTCGCTCGTATCCTCGACGAGAGAATCAAATTTGGGGCAAGCCAGCTCTGCAATCGATCCCCCACTCGAACTGCTACCCTCCAGATCCTTCCCGGGTGCGTTGCGAGAAGAGCGAGACGAGCCCAGCCGCGGCGACGAGGGCCACCCCACGGGAGGACCGGAGAAGGGCCAAAGCACAGGGCAACGGCAGCGGCGTCGGTGCGACAGGCTCGCGCCGCGTTGACGCAGCGGCGACGCCGGGCAAGGGCGGGCAAGGTCCGATCGTGCGCGGAGGCCGCACGCGCCCCACGAGCGGAGACGGCCTTGGAAGACATGCTGTGGAGCACTCCCCTCCGAAGAACGGAAGCTACAGGCAAGAGGTCGGCTCGTGCATTGCACCGGCCGGCCATCGACGAATCGACGAATCGGCGACGTCGGAAAGCAGCGCTCGTTCCAGGTGGAGCGACCTCCACGCGGAGCAGGAAGCCAACCGCTGACGTCACCGCAGCGTGACCCTGCCGTACCTCTCCCTCCTGTGCAGGGCTGACTGCACAGCGCGCAGGCGCGCCTCCCCAGCGGGGCCGCCTTCGGCGGGGCCTCCCCGCACCGCCCCCCCGGGGGGGGAGGGCGACCGCCTGCTCCAGTTGCCGCTCCAGGGCGGCCTGCGAGTCCTGGAGGGCCAGCAGGCGCGCCTGGGCCTCGCGCACCTCCCTCGTCCGCTCCTCGCCGGCGGCGGGCGAGCCACGACCCTGGACCCTCTCGGGCTCAGGGCAAGAGTCACGACGGGAGGCCATTCGACATCTTCGGCCCTCGGGACCGTCAACAAAAACAGCTCGGGGCGAAAACTGTCCCAGAGGATGGGTCGACACCTCGGGGGGTCGACGTCATGAAAAACCCATGACATCGGCGGTCTGGGACTGAAGGCCAACAGAAGCAGATGTGCGGGCGCCAAGAGTATACACCACCACCACCACCACCACCACCTTCATCCACCTCCCTTCCTCCAGCCTCTTCTTCATCTCCTCCTTCCTGCGATAGGTAGGGGGTGAGGGAAGCCTGGTGGTGTGCATGTGTTGGGCCCCGTGAGGTGGGCGACGAAAAAGGACGAGCCTCACGCTCGGCGGCATGGTGGCCGTTGCGGCTACGCGATGGTTCGCGCTGGCCGCCAGCGCGGCACACCGGCCGGAAGAAGGGACTCGCTGGGAATCCGCAGCGCCGCGCGTCCGCTTCCTTCCTCTCTCTCTTACCGCTTCGCAGTCCTGTTGGCCCCCGCCCACCCGTCGCCCCTCTCCCCCATGTGGTCCCCCCCCCGCACCCTTCTCTGGACACGGGGCCCCCTTGCGAATCGGGGGGGGCTCGTTCTGAACCCGCAGCGCCGCGCGCTCGCTTCCCTCCTCTCCTCCCTCATCCTCCTTGCCCTCATCTTGGACATGAGGCAAACCTAGATCGACTGGGATCGTAGCGTCAGGATGGTATGAACCAACGGCATGGCAACGAAACCGACTCAGGCGCTGTGGCCAACACATTGAAGTGCATGCAAGGGCGAACAAGCTCCTCGCAGTCATGCCGACGAGTCCTGACAGACTTGATCAAGACCCCCGACGTCGCGATTGCCTTCGCAGCGTTGACCCTGGAGATCTCTTCGGCTCGGCCCCTTTCCCCAAGGTCGGGCTCTTCATCCCCAATTGTTTTCCAGCGACCCCAGGGACCGTCGAGGCCCCCCAGAAACCGGAAACTGCTTAACACAACCAGTCGTGATGAAGTCACGGAGCGAGGGGAACTGGGAATATCATTCCTCGACGCTCGACACCCTCCTTCCCGTCCACCCGCGGGAGCCGCTTCGCTTACTGCACTCCAACTGTAACCCCCAGGCCTGAGAGAAAAAGAAAAACAAAACATATACCCCTGATCCTCAGTATGTGGCCTCCCGAGAAACTTGTACATGTTTTCCGGCGCGGTGATGCTTCGGAGATGGCTCGACATGCTTGTCGATGCTGTTGCGGGCCAAGTTCGGCCCGCAAACGGAACCGGGCCCGCGTGACCACCTCACATCCGCACGATACTCTGCAACACTTCAGGCGCGGCTCGCGCTGTGAACGGAATCGGGCTCGCGCGGCCGCGGCTTCGGCCGATGTGACCACATCGTGCTTGACCCAGCGGGAAAGCTTTGGAGAGGTTTCGATAAAATATGTCGGGCATGACTGTGGATGGTTTTTCGTTGGGGAGATGTTTCGGAGATCTTCTGAAGACGTTCTACCGCGTGCGCGACGAGACCCGCCAGGTCCCGCAGTGGGCCCATCCCTGTCTCACTCCCCCCTCCCTCATCATCCCTCCTCCCCCTTCCTCTCGCCCCCCTCCTCCCCATACCATATTTCCTTCCTCCCTCCTCGAACCCTCCCTCTCCTCACCACTTCTCCACTCATCCGTCTCCCGATGCGCAACATCAAACCACCAATCTAGAAGGTCCACCCACCCCCAACGCAAAAAAACATAGCCTACGAAATTGCACCAACATCGATTCCAAGTCTTTACCGATCCGAATAAACACATGGATAATCCACATTTCTCGGCCTTTGCAAGAACCAGGATCACCTCTGGCGACCTCCCACGAGATCCAACATCACGGACAAAAATCGTGAAACACTAAAACCGAATCCCACGAACCCATCTTCTGCAGTATTTCTCCAGCTGGGGCGGTCCGTGAGGGACCCTGGCGGCCCAAAACAAGGAGATGACGCCCAAATCTGGGGGTCTGCCGACTTCCGACCCCTACCACGGGCGGAAGACATATCCGTATCCGCGCTCTCGTGGTCTGGATTCTGGGGCGCGATCCCGCGGATACGCGGTCGCACGAATACTTTCCGCACGGAGGATCAGCGAGCAAAACGCCCCGTATCCGCGGGGTCGCGGCCCAGGGGCCTGGCCCGCGAGGCCGCGAATACGGATACGTGTTTTTTTCGGCCACGACCCCCGACCCCCACGTCATGCTTTGTCATAACGTCGACCCCTGTAGGTCTCGACCCACTACCCAGGACGGGTTTTTCATGCCGAATCGTTTCTCGACGGTCCCGAGGTCTGGTCAGGGCCATGAGCGACAAAACATACTGAAAAACCTCGCCTCGTGTTCTTGTCCTGACTTGGGGGGGCCTGGGACCCCTGAGCCCATCCGCAGGAACGCTCCCCGGCCCGCCGGTCCTCCAGCTGCACCCTGGAGGCCTCCGTGGCAATCTTCAGCGACCGCCTCTCCTTGGGGTGCCGCGCCCGGCTGCCGCGCACGTGGCAACAGGCCCGGGCAAGATGTGCCCAGCGACACGCAAGGGAGTACGAGCAACAACTTCCGCTGTGAGAAGCGGGCGCCTGAACATGTTGTCGGGTAGAGAGAAGGCTTTCGGGACTGTATTCTGAGATCAGCTCGACACGACGAAGGATTCACTACACATCGAGTTTACAAGCAGCTCGCGCCGCTCGGGGATATTGGTGAGGATCAGCTGAACCTGAGGGCATGACTGGCTCAATGCGAACAGCTACTAATGAGGTCTCGAACGGCGCCCTGCACTGTTGGGACATGGACGAAATTATCATTCGTCAGCGGCCTTTAGGCCGAAGTGTCCAGCATCAAGCAAGGCAGACCTAAACGCCTCAAGAGTATTATCCAGCCGCTGAAGCTTGTGCAGTATCTGCATGCTTTCGATTGGAACTTCGTCCAGTATCAAGCAGCACAGGCCGTCGACCCACTCCGTCTGAGTTATGTGTCCAGACGAATCCGCATCGATCAGCTTGAAGAAATCTTCAAGTTTGTAAGACTTGAGAGCGCGCAGTATCTCGGGCGCCAAGGGCGTACTTATCCTCCTTAGATCGAGATCGTCAAAATAAATAAACCCTTGGTTGCAGATATCGAGCTGCCTGAAGGCGCTGGAAAGAAGTGGTATCAGCGTCTGCAATCTTCCCTTCAGGGAGACGCGCTCCAGTTCTGCGTCTTGAGTGGAAACTTTGATGGCGTGGTTCACAATCACGGCAGTGATCAAGTTCATGATCGCGATCGGCACCAAGAGCAAAATCGGCAGGAAGTACAATATTAGGACTGGCTTCGCGAGAATTAAAGGATAATAGATATTGGCGATGCCGTCGCAAAAAGCGAACCGCGTCAGCGTCAACATCAGCACAGGGATCGACCTGAAATGATCTGCCACAATGGGTCCAGCCACGGGGTCGGAGAGCAAGTCCTGGTCGCTACCGAGGAGGACCACCCCAGCACACGCGAACACGTACTTGACCCCGAGCAGCAGCACCAGGCCCGACGCCACTGGGCCGTTTGCCCCTAGCAGGCCTGATATCAGCTTCCACAGCGGCCGCATTATCTGCAGAAAGCGGAGGGCACGCACCATGCGCAGCAGTCGCAGAATGCGAATGACCAACACCTTTTTGAGAGCACCGATGGCGCCTATGCCGCTAAGAAGCGGCTCCATCACCCATATCGTCACCACGCCGAGGGCGACGAGGGCGACATCCATCTGGAACCACACGCTCCGGAGACACCCTGACCAGTCACCTATCATGCGCGTCAGAAGTTCTAATACATAGGCCGACAGAAACACATTCTCGAGCGCTTGAAACGTTGGAGACGGTGCCTCTTCGCTGTCGATGCCCGCCTGGATTTCAAGCCCGATAACCGTACAATTTGCGACTATGATGACAGACATGCAATAATCGAACCACGAGCTCCTAGTGACCATGTAAGCAGCGCGCTGCACCACAGCAACCTTCGATCGGGAGATGCTGTTGGTATCTGCACCGGAAAACTCCGATTTGCGAACCTGCGTGCCGATCCTGAAGAGAGCCGAGTTTAACCCGCGGTCTCGCAAGGCGTGATGGGTGATCTCTGCCGTCGCCCTCACCTGGCTGACCTCGCCGCCGCCTGATCTGGGCCTCGGCTCCATCCAGGGGGACGCGCTCGCGTCCAGCCCGCGCTCGCTCAGGGCGTGCTCGGTGAGCTCCGCGGTGCTCCTCGCGCCCGAGCTCCCAGCCAGGCCGAGGCGGATGCCACTTGCTGTACAGGGCCTCGCACCGGCCCCCGCATCGCAGGCGACGACCGCTGGGACCTCCTCCTCCTCGCGGCCCCTGGCTGTGCCGACCCACCGTGACGGCGACGCCGCGGCCGCGGCGCCCTCGGTGCGGGCGTCCTGCCCGAGGACCTCGGCCAGGCCGGTGAGCAGTGCGCCGTGGCGCCCCAGCAGCTCCTGGGGATTCCGAAGGGCACCGGCACCGCTGCAATTCCCCCGGACCTCTCCCGGGGCGCGCGCTGAGACCGGGACTTCTCGAGGCAGAGCCGGCGGTGGCGACGAGGAGGGCCTCCCACCCTGACCTTCCAGGAGGGCTAACAAATAGCACCAGGACGTCGACGTCCTAATTCCTGTCGGGGTTTGAGGCAGTCCAGATCGATCTATAGGTCTGGAGTGCTATTTTTTAGCACTCTGGAAGGTCAGGGCAGGAGGCCCGAAGAGGGGACCGCGGGCGAGGGGGCCGAGGCAACCGCGGGCACCTGTTCCTCCTCTGAGCTCACGGCGCTCGGCATCGAGCCGCCTCCGGAGCCAGGCCACCGCCTCGTCGGCCAGGCCGGGCTCGCGGCCGCCGCCTATGCTCGGGAGCCTGAGGGGGCCTCCCGCGCTGCCCCCGCACCAGGGGCTCGGCATCGGGCCCGCGCCAAGGCGAAGGCGCGCACGAGCCCTTCGCCGACGAAGAACGGTATGGAATAAACTGTCCCGCCGTCGGTAGAGGCCTCTTACATGGGGTCCGAGTAGATGGGGTCGGAGGATAGCACTGCATCGCCAATACATCGGCGATGCATCGCCGATGCATCAGCGATGCATCAGCGATGCATCGGCGACGTCGGCGATGTATCGGCGGCGCCGGCGTGGAGAAAATCGGGCTTCACATCGGGCCGCATCGCAGATGCATCGACGATGCGGCGCGATCCTCCGACCCCGTCTACTCCGACCCCATCTGGGAGGCCTAGAGTCTGGGGCGCCTGCCCCACGACGGCTGGAGAGTTTGTGCCCCGACGTGCCACGATAAGGGTTTTAGCTGGCCAGCCTCCCTGGGGCAGGGGTCCTGGGCGGCGGAAAACATTGTGTTGTACCGTTCTTCGTCTGCCAAAACCCGAGGCACGCCCGGCCACCGCGCGCGGGCGGAGCTGGAGAGTCAGGGAGCGTTGCCCATTGAGCTTGGGCCAACGCATTTACGGTAGAAGAAAAAGAGAAACACGCCATAAACATTAACTTTTGGTGCTCCGCGCGGACTTCTTGGATCCGCGCTGGACCCCCTCCCTGGCGCGCGGAGCGCGCGAGGGGGCGGCCGGCGCAGGAGGCGCTGCCAAAGGGGCCTGGCGCGGATCCAAGAAATCCGCGCGGAGCGTCAAACGTTTATGTTTATGGCGTTTTTTCTTCTTCGATACGGAGCAGGCGACCCCATCTTTGCGTCGCAAATTTGGAGGGCAACGATTGGGGGGGACAGGCACAGGTGTGGGGGGGGGGAATCTCGGCCTGGAATCGGCGATGCATCGATGATAGATCGGCGATGGGACCCCAGTCGCGAATCACCGCGTTCCTGGGGCGAAGTGGGGGTATCAGAGCCCTAGCGGCGAGGAGTGGACGACTGAGGATCGTTGCCTATCCCCCCATGTGCCTATCCCCCCTTCCATCGCTGCCCCGGACCCTCGAAGCTTCGGCGATGGGGCGTTGGATGAGGAACCCTTGGATGAGGAATCTGGGGTCTGGAGCCGTTCAGCTTTGATTTTGCTGGGCGCTCACAGACCCCAAGGCCACTCCATTTCCAACCCTGCCGAAGATTTTTGAGCCAAATCCCAAAGCATTTGATTGAAGTCGATTGGACTTGGAGTTGGGCTGGTAGTTCTGGTCCGCAGCAGAAGTCGCAGTGGCTTGAGACGCCACGAGGAAAAAGTACCTACTCCAGTCGTGGCTTGGCGGTGGGCATCACCGCCGCCATCGCCAGAGAAGGAATCCTCCAAGGTCTGCAGCATCATGGGCACATTCTTTTCTCAGTCTGCGGCCGTAAGAGAGTCAGACGGCGGTCCAGCAGCGGCGGGGCGCGCGCGCTGAAGCACCGCGAGGCACGAGGGGAAGAGCGCCTCCTGGGCACATCGAGCGAGAACGCCCTTGGAATTACACGAGGGGGGGGGCAGCAAGAGTGAAGCTGGCCTCGCGGGAAGCAGGTCCCAGGAGTGCCTCGCCGTCACCGGGCTCCCGGGCCCGGGGCCCTCCCATGGGCCCCAGGACCGCCACCAACCGGCCCAGGATGCAGGGCCGGCCAGGGTCCACGGCCCGCCCCTCACGGCCCATCTCCTCCGTGGCGAGGGGGGCGCCGGACGCGCGCCTCGCCGTGCCAGATGCTGGGGCCCGGGGGGGGGGCCCCCCGCTCGTGCTGGGAGCCCCCACCTCACAACCTACAGTCAACCCGTGGAGCAAGGGCGCACGATAAGGATGCGGGGGCCTGGATCGAGACTTGCCGACACTTTGCGTGGATCGAGGGCACCAAAAAAGCTGCCAGGCTGGAGCCCAGGAGGGCTCGGGGACCCCTTGCCGTGCGGCTTGACTGCGCACCCACGGCCCCCGGAAGAATCCGAGCCTTGGCATATGGCTCTGCGCCTGGCGGGGGGGGGGGGGCCTCCAGTCCAGGCCCCCGGCGTCGTGATCTCTTCACAGCGTCGGCCCCCCCCCAAGGCAACCCCTTCCTGGGGACCGGCCTTTCCTCCGGAGCCGTCTTTTGGCAGCCCAGGGGCGGACCCCCGGAGGTCGGAAATGGCGAGAAGCCTCCCCCCGCGATTCCTGTCAGAGCGCGAGGAGGGCCGGGAGGCTCCATGGGGCCACGGCCGGGACGGCTCCTCTCGCCGTGCCTTCCGCGAGCAAGCAGGGCGCGCCGCTCCGCGCCTCGGGGCGGGGAGGTCGGGAGCAGAGCTCGCGCGGTGGACGCCCGGGAACGTTGACAGCGTCGGTGGCAGCTCATGGGAGCCGCCCGGGCAGGTGGAGGCCTGTGCACGAGAGACCGTCCACCGGGAAACCCACCACGAGATCCAAGGAGGTCCATCGGTTTTTGGTGCGGGAGCGTCGCGCCGTCCGGCGCAAAGCGATCGAGACCCAGGAAACCCAGGACACCCTGGAAGGAACCAGGGTGTTTCCTGGCATGGGCTTCCACTGTGCCGTCTTGTCGGCTCCTGCAGAATCGACGCCGACCGACGCTAACTCGACGCTGATCGGCGCTGAATCGACGCCAGGCGACGCTGACCGACACCAGGCCGGCGCCATCCCTAGGAAGGCACCAACTATACACCAACACCGATCCTGGCCAGGATCACCCTGGGCCCAGGATCGGTGTATACGCCCTCCTGCCTTGGGCAAGAAGGCACATACACCGATCCTGGGCCCAGGGTGATGCTGGGCCAGGATCGGTGTTGGTGTACAGTTGGTGCCCTCCGAATCCCATCGACCCCAGACGCTGATCGACGCCAATCGACGCTGAAGACGGAGCTGGCAGGGCATACCCCGGGCTCCCACGATCTGCCACCGAAGCCAGCGGGGCGCGCCGCAGCGCGGTGGGCCCGAGGGGGCGGCGCGCCACGCGGTCCGAGGCCGCAGCTGCCGGGGTGGGCAGCGGTGGGACGCGCGGGCGCCGAGAGGTCATGCCGAGGCGGGCGAGCTCCGCCCACGGGGGCGTAGCGGGAAGAAGCGTGCGCACGGAGAAACGACGAACACGCGTCCGAGCAATTTAAGTTGAAGGGGCCCAGGGGCACACACACACAGCTAAATAGACACGAATCCCAGGCTTCCCCATCTTTTCCCATATCCTCTGGGTTTTCGTCGTCGCCCCCACTTCCTCTATTTTCCCATACTCTCTGGGGAGCCGACGATCAATTGCGTCTGTCAGTTTTTCCCGTCCTGACGACAATTGAGCGACGAAACGTGTCTTGCGCGAGATGGCATGGCGACCTTGCGCGGTGGCTTACGCGGGCCGCCAGCGAGGCACGCCACCTGAGAGACGAGGTCGCTGGCGCGCGAATGTCGGCGCCGTCGGCCCCGTTTTCTTTCGTCGCTCCACTGGGGGGAGGCCTCGACTGAGCCTGGGCCGAGCTTCGGAGAGTCTGGCGCTCGGCTCCAGAACACCCTCCCCCCGAAGGCCTCTGGACCCGGATGCCTTCTCGAGGACCTCAGAAGCCTTCTGAGGTCTCCTGGAGCCCCCTGGAGATCGGGGGCGGCCAGGAGGGGGGCGTCCAAGCGGGGTGGCGCAAATCATGGCCGGCGGCACGTGCGCGGCCCAGGGAGGGGGGAGTAGCCGGGGACGTATAGAAATGAATGAGAAGTGGCGCCATGAAATCTGAGAGATATCATGGCCCCCGCCATGAGATCCCCCCCACTAGTCATTACCCCCCTTTTGGCCGCCACCGAGGAGACCTCAAGAGGGCCTCCGCAGAACAGAAAGAGCTGGGCACGTCCAAAAGCCGGGGTCCTCGCCCGCTCAAGGAAGCGGCCCCCAAATCGCCCCAACAGGGCCCCCCGGGCGGCCCAGTGAGTGAGGCCCCCAAGACGGCCTCCGAAAGCCAATGGGGCCCCAGGGGGGCCCCACCGAGGCCCCAGGAGGAGGCCACTAAGGCGGCCCTCCGCGGCCCCCTAAGGAGCACTCGGGAGGCCCCCGCGAAGTCCCCACGAGGCCCAAGAAGGCACCAAGAAATCTCCTACTTCTCTTCCTCCTCCTCCTCCTTCTCCTCCTCCTCCTCCTCCTCCTTCTCCTCCTCCTCCTCCTCCTCCTCCTCCTCCTCCTCCTCGTCCTCCTCCTCCTTCTCCTTCTCCTCCTCCTCCTCCTCCTCCTCCTCCTCCTCCTCCTCTCTTCCCTTCTCCTCCTCCTCCTCCTCCTCCTCCTCCTCCTCCTCCTCTCGTCCTCCTCCTCCTTCTCCTTCCGCTCCCGCTCCCGCTCCCGCTCCCGCACCCGCGCCTATTCCTCCTCCTCCTCCTCCTTCTCCACCCGCTCCCGCTCCTCCTCATCCACCTCTCCTCCTCCTCCTCCTCCTCCTCCTCCTCCTCCTCCTCCTCCTCCTCCTCCTCCTCCTCCTCATCATCCTCATCCTCATCCTCATCCTCATCCTCATCCTCATCCTCATCCTCATCCTCATCCTCATCCTCATCATCCTCATCCTCATCCTCATCATCTCATCATCCTCATCCTCATCCTCATCCTCATCCTCATCCTCATCCTCATCCTCATCCTCATCCTCATCCTCATCATCATCATCATCATCATCATCATCATCATCACCACCATCATCATCATCATCATCATCATCGATCGACTTCCACAAGCACAGACATGGTCGACGTTTTCCTGCTATGCTGCTCCCATCGCACTTAACGACCACATCCCAGAAATAATCTCGAGCGCCCAGAAGAGTGTCAAAGCAGTGTCGCCCGAGTGGCTGTCTCCTCCCAGGGTACGACACGTGAACACCCTCAAAACTTCGGTGCTTTCCTGGTGCTCGAAACTCTGTTTGGTGATCAAGGCTAAAGTAGGTTGGAAACTCATAACCTGCCTGCGAGATCCTGCCCCCTCGGATCTGATCGCGCTCGCGCTCGGGTCGGGGGCCGGCACCCGCTGCACCTGGCGGTGCGCTCGGCGACGGTGCGCCTCGCCGCGGATCTCGCTGCACCCAGCCTTCGGCACGGCTCGCGCCGCCTTGAAGGAAAAGAATAACGACACACACACACATACACATCTCGGGGCAGGGTGAGTCGAGCAGATGAACGACAGGCTGCAAAAAACATGATTGCTCGTGGGCTCCGCGCGGATTTCTTGGATCCGCGCCAGGCCCCCTCCCTGGCGCGCGGAGCGCGCCAGCGGCGCGCGCCGGAGGCGCCACTGGGCACCGTGAGGGCCCAGCGCGGATCCAAGAAGTCCGCGCGGAGCGCCAAAAGTTTCTGTTTGTGGCGCTTTCTCTCCTTCGAGTTCTGTAGGCGGCCCGGGGGAGTCCCGCCTCGCGGTTGCTGCCGGTGGCAAAGAAAAGGCCTCCTAGATAAGGTCGGAATACATGGGGTCGGAGAATCGCGCCGCATCGCCGATACATCGGCGATGCATCGGTGATGCACCGGCGATGCATCGTCGACGTCGGCGATGCATCGGCGACGTCGATGTGAAGCAAGTCGGGCACCACATCGAGCCGCATTGGCGATGCACCGGCGATGCGGCGCGATCCTCCGACCCCCTCTGCTCCGACCCCTTCCAGGAGGCCTCGAACGGCGCTCTCGGAGCACTCTTGGAGTCTTCGGGGTGCGCCCGGTCACGGTTGGGCTGCTCCTGGCTCCGGGGCTCGGCCCGAGGGTTAGGTCGGGCATGTCCTCCTGCAGGCGGGTCTTGGGGGAGACATATAAAGACTTGTTACACCGATTCAAACATACTAGAAAAATCGTCCCCAGACTATTTTTGACCCCTTTTGAAATAGTCCTCCTTTCAAAGGACATGCCCGACTCACACTGCTGCCGACGACGGCCGCGAAGCGCGAGGCCAGACTCCCGAGAGCCGTCCTCACGCCCGACGACGCCTCGCGCTCGCGCTTTCGTCGGGAGCGCGCCCTGGCGGTGCTCCTTCGCCCCCGGGCGCACTACGGGAGCCGCGCGCCACGATGAGGCTGAGGCTGAGACGGAGGCTGCGCCTATGTCGTCCAGCGGGGGGACGGCCCTACGCGGGGCCAGGCGGTGGCGCCGGGGCGCCGCTATCACTCGAACGTCGCACATCATATACGGGCCAACTTACTCCACACCCAATGGTTGCACGATGAGGAAGGACGGAAGGACGCCGTGAAATCGAGCTGGCCGCCCCGAGCGCGCCGCCTTGGTTGGTCGCTGGGGCGACTCGAGGCGGCCCTGCTCTCGGTCTGCCCCGCCCCTTTGGAAGAGAGCCCCTCGAGAGGGGGGGGGGGAGGGAAGGGCCCCCTGGAGGAGCGCCCCTGGAGGGGGGGGGCGAGGGGGGAGGAGGGGCCCCCCCGGGGGAGGAGGGAGGAAAGGCTCCCTGCGTGGGCCCAGGCATCCGACGGCATGGCCGTTTCAGGGCGCGCCCCCCTCCCCCCCAGAGGTGCATCGGCACGAACTCGGCGAGCAGCTGCGGGTCGCGCCAGTCTGGTGGGGAGCCCAGCCCCGCGTCACGTCGAAATGGGGGTGGGTCACTGAGGCGGCTGCTGGCTCGGTCTGGCGCCGGGCGGAGCTACAGGTAGTGGCATGCCGCCTCGGCACCGCCATCATGCAGCCCCTCGCTGGCATGTGCAGGGCTGGCCGCGGCGGCGGTTGGGCCTGTGGGGACGCGGTCCCTTCGCCGAGTGCTCTCTGGGGTCCTTCCTCTCCCCCCTCCCTGCCCGACGCGGCGGGCGGCGGCGTGGCGGGCGGCGGGGCGGCCGACGACAATGAGGACGCTGACGACCTCTCTCCCCCTCTTGGAGATAAGGTGTCTGCAATCCCCTGGTACGCAGTGCCTTCCTCTCCCGCTTCGCGCCCAGGCCTCCTGCGGCTGGGGGGCCTCGCAGGGTCTTCCTAGCTCATCGCGCTGCAAGCTGCTACTTTCATCTCTATCGAGAAGGAGGAGGGGGAGAGGAGGAGGACGAGGACGAGGACGAGGACGAGGACGAGGACGAGGACGAGGACGAGGACGAGGACGAGGATGATGATGATGATGATGATGATGATGATGATGATGATGATGATGATGATGATGATGATGATGATGATGACGACGACGATGAGGAGGAGGAGGAGGGAGGAGGAGGAGGAGGAGGAGGGGGGGAGGAGGAGGGGGATGATAATGAGGATGATGTTGATGATGTTGATGATGATGATGGTGATGATGATGAGGAGGAGGAGGAGGAGGAGAAGGAGGAGGAACGAGGAGGGGGAGGAATGAGGAGGGGGAGGGGGACGACGACGACGAGGAGGCAGAAGGAGGAGGCACGAGGAAGGGGGAAGCGGAGCAGGAGAGCCGAGCACGAGCGGCAGAGCCACAGCGGGTCCTGCAGGAGGTCCACGACCTGCCTCTGCAGCCCCGCCATCTCCGCCAGCTGGCCAGACGGCGACCCGGGGTCCTCTCGACGCCCCAGACGCCTTCAGGCGCCTCCCGCTTCTGCTCCCGCTCCTCCTCCTTCTCCTCCTCCTCCTCCTCCTGCTCCTCCTGCTCCTCCTGCTCCTCCTGCTCCTCCTGCTCCTCCTCCTCCTCCACCTCCTCCTCCTCCGTATCCTTATCCTCCTCCTCCTTCTCCTCCTCCTCTTCCTCCTCGTCATCATCACCACCACCACCATCATCATCATCATCATCATCATCATCATCATCATCATCAACATCATCATCATCATCATCATCATCATCAGCCTCATCACCATCATCATCAACATCATCACCATCACCATCACCACCACCACCGTCATCACCACCACCATCATCAGCATCATCAGCATCATCCTCATCATCATCCTCATCATCAGCATAATCATCAGCATAATCCTCAACATCATCATCACCGCCGCCACCATCATCATCATCATCATCATCACCATCACCATGACCACCACAACCACCACCACCACCACCACCATCATCATCATCATCATCATCATCATCATCAACATCATCATCATCATCATCATCATCATCATCATCATCATCCTCATCCTCATCCTCATCCTCATCATCAGCATCATCATCAGCACCATCATCATCCGCAGCAGCAGCAACATCATCATCATCACCATCACATCATCACATCAGCATCACCATCATCATCACATCAGCATCATCATCACCACCATCATCATCAGCAGCAGCAACATCATCATCACCATCATCAGCATCAGCATCAGCATCAGCATCAGCATCAGCATCAGCATCAGCATCATCATCATCATCACCATCATCATCATCATCATCATCATCATCATCATCATCACCATCACCATCATCATCATCATCATCATCATCATCATCATCATCATCATCATCATCATCATCATCATCATCCGTTCTTGACGTTGGCCAGACTCTAATCGGGTAAAGTGCGCCAGTGGATCTCCCTGAATACCCTAAAGGAGGGGGGAGGGTCCACAACCCCCCCCCCCTCCCCCCTTCAAGGGGGGGGGGGAGGGGGTCCGGAACTCCCCCGCCTCCCCCCGAAAGGGGGGGGAGTGTCCGAACCCCCCCCCCTCCCTTGAAGGGGAGTGGGGGGTCCGGACCCCCTCCCCCCCCCCCCCTTGTCGCTGAAAGGGGGGGGGGGGTTTCGAACCCCCCCCTCCGCCCTTTTGCGCCGGAAAGGGAGCCGGGGAGGGGGGGCCTCTCTCGCTTCTCCTTTCTGCGCCGGAGAAGGTGTGTAGGGAGTACGGAGTTGGGAGTAGGGAGTGGTGCGTACTCAGATAGTGCGTAGTGAGTAGTGAGTACTGGGTAGTGAGTAGAGGGTAATGAGCGGCGAGTAGGGAGTAGGGAGTAGGGAGTGGAGAGTAGTGAGTAGTGAATAGTGAGTAGTGTGTACTGATAAGTGAGTCGTGAGTGACGAGTAGTGAGTAGTGAGTAGTGAGTAGTGAGTACTGAGTAGGGAGTAGGGAGTAATGAGTAGTGGGTAGTGAGTAGTGGGTAGTGAGTAGTGGGTGGCGAGTAGTGATTAGTGAGTAGTGAGAAGTGGGTAGTGCGTTTTGCGTAGTGAGTAGTGAATAGAGAGTAGCGAGTCGTGAGTAGTGAGTAGCGAGTACGGGAGTATTGAGTAGCGAGTATGGATTAGTGGATAGTGGGTAATGAGTAGTGATTAGTGAGTAGTGCTTACTGAGTAGTTAATATAGAGTAGTGGGTAGTGAGGAGTGGGTAGTGAGTAGGGAGGAAGGAGTGGTGAGTACGGAGTAGTGAGTAGCGAGAAGTGGATTGTGGTTAGTGAGTAGTGGATAATGAGTAGTGAGTCGTGAGTACTGAGTAGTACGTAGTGCGTAGGGCGTAGTGAGTAGTGATGAATAGAGAGTTGTGGGTAGTGGAAGTGGGTAGTGTGTAGTGACTAGCGAGTAGTGAGTAGTGAGGAGCGAGTAGGGCGTAGTGAACAATGAATCGTGAGTAGAGAGTAGTCAGTCGTGAGTAGTGCGTCGCGATTAGCGAGTAAAGACTAGGGAGTAGCGAGTAGTGAGTAGTGAATAGTGAGTAGTGGGTAGGGAGTAATGAGCAGTGAGTAGTAAGAAGTGGGTAGTGAATAGTGGGTAGTGAGTAGAGATTAGTGAGTAGTGGGTAGTGTAGTAAGTAGTGACTAGTGACTACTGACCTGTGACTAGTGACTAGAGACTATGTAGTGACTAGTTAGTAGGGAGTAGTGAGTAGTGAGTAGTGAGTAGCGGGGAGTGAGTAGTGTGTATTGAGTAGCGAGTATGGGAGTAGCGAGTAATGAATACTGAGTACTGTGTAGTCAGTACTGTCTAGGGAGTAGGGAGTAGCGAGTAGCGAGTAGTGGGTAGTGAGTAGGGATTTGTGGGCAATGAGTAGTGAGAAGTGAGTAGTGTATTAGTGGGTAATGAGTCGTGATTAGTGAGTAGTGCTTACTGAGCAGTGAATAAAAAAGTAGTGGGTAGCGAGAAGTGAGTAGTGAGTAGGGAGGAGGGAGTGGTGAGTAGGGAGTAGTGAGTAGCGAGTAGTGGGTTGTGGGTAGGCAGTAGTGGATAGCGAATAGTGAGTCGTGAGTAGTCAGTGGGGGTAGTGAGAAGTGAACAGCGAATAGCGAACAGTCAGTAGTGGGTAGTGAGTAATGAGTAGTGAGTACTCTGTGGGGCTGGGGTTAGTGTTTGGGGTTAGGGTTCGGAGTTTGGGTTAGGGTGAGGACTAGGGGTAGGGGTGGCGGGGGTCGGGTTCCAGAGTCAGGGGGCGGCGTGGCGAAAGGGGGGAGGGGGGGGGGGGGTGCGGCCAAAGGGGGGAGGGGGGGGGGTCGGACCCCCCCCCTTTTGAAAGGGGAGGGGGGGGGGGTCCCCGACGACGGATCGGGGGAAAGGGGGGGAGGAGGGGGATGGGGGGTTCCCCGACGACGGATCGGGGAAGGGGGGGAGGGGGGGGGGTCCCCGACGACGGATCGGGGAAGGGGGGGGGGGTTCGCAACCCCCCCCCCCTTGGGGAGATCTAGCGGCGCACCCTCCTAATCGGGCGTTGGCAAAACTGGGTTTAGCGGGACCTGGTTGAATGATGTGTACTGGGGGACGACCCCCCCCGCCCCGTTACACTAACCGGAATGGCCGCCATCCGAAAAAACACGAACTACGGCAGACATGGTTTAGTGATTCTGGCTACGTAATTCAGGGGCTCCGGTGCCCTACTACCAACCGGGTCCCCTTACCTGGGGTCCTGGCTATACCCGATCTTAGCATCAATGCTCGTGGCGTTCGTCCGTTTCCTCCTCCTCCTCCTCCTCCTCCTCCTCCTCCTCCTCCTCCTCCTCCTCCTCCTCCCAAATGCTGCTGCTGCTGCTCCTCCTCCAGAAACTGCTCCTCGGCCTCCTCCGTGCCCCTGCCTCTCTCTGGCGCGAGCGCCGCACCCCCTAGCAACGGCAGGCGTGAAGAACGCTTGCTTGCCGGAGCTTTCAGCGAAGCACCAGAGGAGCGACGGGGCGGCTGAGGGTAAGCTCGCCAAATCCAGCAGGCTCCTGCGCAGCCTTCGAATTGGCCTGGGCGGGGCCCTGGGCGAGGCTCAGGTATCCACAGGATTTCCAGACCACCCTCCAGAATCATGAGGAATTCCTGGAGAACTCTCAGGACTCCCAGAAAGCACCCCGAAGGATTCCATGAGGCATTCCAAGGGTTTCCTCACGAGTCCTCATGTGCTCTACTGGAGGCCTGACGAACCCTACGACTTCACTCGGGAGCCTGATCGGGAACCGTACTTGGAGAGCCCCCGAATCCCACAAGAGGACCCCAGGATGCCCGAAAACCCTCCAAGAGGGTTGTGGATGCCATGAGAATAGACACTCTAACCCTTCTATCGTTGAGTTGAATACGTATTTCAGATGTCTTCTACATGTTCAAAAAATGTCCGAAACATGCTTGAGACATGCCCCTGCACTTTAAAAGACATGTTTGAAGCATGCTTCAGACATCTGGATTTTTGTTTGGCAACATGCCTCCTCTCCATTGATCGTCTACCACAACAGGAGGGCCCCGGGAAGGCTCAAAGACGGCCCCCAAGGAGGACGTCCCTATAGGACCCGCCCTCCTCGGGAGAGCTCTCGGTGGAACTGGCGCGCCCGATGCTGCAGGCGTCCAGCGCGATTCGAGAGGCCTCTCGGGAAGCACCCGAGAGGCACCCAAGACGGCCTCGACGGCCTCCAAAAGTGATGGGCCAACGTCCCACCACTACCACAGGTAAGACGGGGAAGCCGGGAGGATGGGACGTCCTCCTCCTCCTCCTCCTCCTCCTCCTCCTCCTCTTCCCTCTCTTACCTATGGTGGTGGCGGTGGTGGAAAATCGGCCCATCAAAGAGGCCCCCAAGACGACCCAAGAGGCTCCCAAGAGGGCCCGGTAAGCCCAGCAAGCTGTTTCAAGATACCCACAAGGCGGCGTCCAAGAGGCATCTGATGGGGCATCCAAGGTGGCCGAAGGTGCCCTCGGACGGCCTGTTGACCCTCCGAAGAGCCCTCAAGACGGGCCAAAAAAAAACCCTACAGACTTTCAGGACGGCCTAAAAGGCCTCTGAAGCATCTGGAGGCACCCACCCAACCGTCCAAACACCGCGACAGCCAAAATATGCCTCCAAGAGGAGCATACATTTCCGAAAGGCTCTCAAGACTACAGATATGTATCAAGCATAATGCCGACGAGGACCCGAAGAGGCTGGCAAAATATACTATCAATGATAGTGCAATGCATTCATGCTGGAATAATGATATCGCCCGTTCTTTTCAATGGTCGTCTCTCGCTCCCCCTGTCACTACCAGAGATCACATCGCACCAGCTCATCAGATCACACAGGAAGCCGAACCATGATGAAACGCATCAAGTCCCAACGCTTATGAGATATATGCTTCCCCTCGCTGATGCGCTCTTTCATCGACCTTGTGCAGTTGCTCGCTGGCCCATCCCTGC